TAAAAGGAACCTCTTACTCTCTCACAAAGTTCCAACCTTTAACACACTCAAAGCTTAAATCTTTCAACTTTCGATAGATTTACCAAACATGCCTTCTGATTTCAACGAATCACGTCGGATTCTCACGAGGCCACACGGCGGAGGAGCGGTGGCGATGGCAATTCCGGCGGATCAACAAGAACAGCTTCCTTGTCCTCGATGTGACTCAACCAACACAAAGTTCTGTTACTACAACAACTACAATTTCTCACAGCCACGTCATTTCTGCAAGTCTTGTCGCCGTTACTGGACTCACGGTGGTACTCTCCGTGACATTCCCGTCGGTGGTGTTTCCCGGAAAAGCTCAAAACGCTCCCGGACTTACTCTTCCTCCGCCGCTGCTTCAACCGTCGTCGGAAGCCGGAATTTTCCGTTACAAGCGACACCTGTTCTGTTCCCTCAGTCGTCTAACGGCGGTGGTAACACGGCGGCGAAAGGAGGCGCATCGTCGCTCTACGGTGGTTTAACCTCTTTGCTCAGCTACAACGCCGCGGCGAGCAGAAACGGACCTGGTGGTGGGTTTAATGGGCTTGACGGGTTTGGGCTTGGGCTTGGTCACGGTTCGTATTTTGATGACGTTAGATTCGGGCAAGGGATAACGGTCTGGCCGTTTTCAACTGGCGCTACTGATGCTACAACAGCCGCTACAAGCCACGTGGCTCCGATTCCCGCCACGTGGCAGTTCGAAGGTCCAGAGGGAAAAGTCGGGTTCGTGTCCGGAGACTACTTAGCGTGAGCTACTTCACCAATCGGAGGGTTTCAATTTTCAATCTCTCTTTCATCTTTTAGTTTTTGTAGTCTAACTTTTCAGTTTAGTGATCTCTAGTAGTGTGTGTCTGGTTATTTAGTTAGGTTACTTGTGAACGAAACTTCAAATCAGAGAAACGTTTGGTTGTTTTTGGGCTCTAATTCCAACTTTAGAAATGCAACGGTCACTTTGTAGGAAATGCAAGTCTGAATTTACATCAGTTGCATAACACTGCGTATACAGAGACGAACAAAAGAAGACTTCTCCATTTTTCTCAGTAAAAAGTAAAACAAACGCAGTAACTTAATTCTCTGAAAATTGCAACCTTTCACACCGCAAAGCTTACAAATCTCTCGCTTTTGATAATGCCATCTAGTTGGCGTGGTTCGATTCCATCTGATGGCTACAAAGTTTGGTTTGGTTTTTTCCACTTAGGGTTCATAATTGGAGAGTACACTCAAGTCACTTAGGTTACTTCATTTGCTACTTGTGAAAAAAAACTGAGAAACATGTGTTATCTTGGAAACAATGGATCACTTATATACAGTATCGATCCGTAGTAACATAGACGATAAGAGACAAACATTATCCATCAAGGACCCAAGACAAAGGAAGAGGCAAGTGTAGATATTTACACGAGAAATGCAAGTAGGAAAGTGCTGATTGGAGTTAAGCTGCACCGAAGTAGCATCAACGGTATATGTACCTAAGTTCAGTAAAAAAAGCTGAGCATAGATGGATGGCCACTGTGGAGCATCCTCTTCAACATATCCATCCCAAAGGCCGAGTCCGATGAGCTGAAACAAACTTAACTCAATTCAACACTTTCCATTTCGCCAAGATACATAAGTAAGATCCCTAGAAAACAGTTTGGTATGTGAATAAGTGGAGACTGATGTATGTACCTTGGGATATTGATCTCAAAGGGGCAGTAGATTACGCCATCGTTAATGGGAGGAACGTGATCCTTTTTCTCGTTGACGAATTTTATGATTTGGAATAAGACTTCTTGAAGGGATTGCTCAAGCAGTGTCGTACGGGAACTTCTTTCCTCAGATGCCTCTACAGTCATTGGATTAGAACATAACAATTACTTCCCACTCATGTAAGAAAAAAAATGGTTCTAATGTTTTGGAGATGAGAGGAGGAAATTCGTCAATCTTACCTCCAGTGTCCATAACTAGTTTAGAATGGTGAGATTTTCCGATTGGGGATTTAATCGGCTGAAGCACATTCAGATTGATGTTCCATTGTTCCCAGCACGACCGTTCAATTTTATTAGTGAACCAAGACTGCTGTTTGCTTTTGACTTCGTAAAACGATAGACATATCTTTGGCCATAACCAAAAAACAAAGAGATCATTAACAGTCACAAAGGATGAATCACATAAAGCATATATGTAAGATAAGCTGCAAATACCTGACTTTTCTTGTTGGGATGTTTCTCAATCCAGCTTATGAAATGCTCAATCTTGTCATCGATTTTCTTTTCCACTTCTATTTCACCGCATTGTACCTGTAACATATGAGGAAAAGGAAAAAGAACCCACTAATATCAAAATCAAAGCATAGTCACCATTTGGAGCCACCAAAATTAACCCTGGCACAGCAAAACCATAGAGGAGGAAGAAATTCAGTCTTACGTAAGTGATCTCAAAGAGCTCCAAATCAATATCTTTAGGGCGGATAAGACCAAGTGCTCGATGAAAGACAATCGTATGTAGAATGCCTGCATCAAATCGAAACTTGGTTAAACAAAGTTGCAAGAAGAAGAACAACATAGCACCACAGAATCGACAAGGACAAGTCTCTGCCTGTATCAGACAAGAAGAAAGCTAACACCTTCAAGACTGTCTCAACCTAAGAAACTCCAAATCTAATCAATGAGTAAACATGTCTATGGCCTTGAGAAAGACCTGATCTGAGATCCGATTCTCAAAAATCTCGAAATCGAAACATGATTTGATTCCGACCACACAAAAATCAAGCATTGCTAATTACCAAAACACCAAAAAGCCTTGTCAAATACCGTAAACTTACAGCGTAGAACCTCGCGTATCTCGAATGATTCCACTTCCTGCAGAACAAAAAAAATCACAAGTATCAAACACAGATACAAGACCTTACGCTATTGAACAAATCTCGAAATAGAAACACGACTCGATGACTAGAAATTGGACTGATCTAGCAAATAAGAAGAAGACGAAAATTTTCACCAGTTCCTTCAGTTGACAGACTTCGCAATTCATATTCGCCGGAGAAAAAATTCAAACACGAGAATTTTGCGATTCTTCG